GATCTGCGAGCCAGGCCGGGGTTCCGCCAGCGGCGGTGGTGACCGGCAGCGACGCCTAAAGCTGGCCGCGTCTCGTGGTGTCCAGCATCTTGAATTGATGGTAGCGCAGGGGGTCCAGGTCAGCGCCACCCGGCAACCCCTCTCCGCACCAATGGGAAGCAGCTTGCCGCCACGGGTGCTCTCCAGAGCCGACTCGTCGAAGGCGTGCAGGAGCTGGCTGACAGCACCGTCCGCCAGCTGGTCGGCGTTCGGGAAGGCGCTTCCACTGGTCGTCAGCGCAAAGCTAGTGGGAGGAGGAGGAGGAGGAGGAGGAGGAGGAGGAGGAGGAGGATGGCCGCTCATTGGGTCCAGGTCGGGAAGCCTAGTTGCAGCCGAGGCTCACCGTAGAGCCCTGTTCGCTCCTTGTGTAGGGTGTTTTGTATGGCTGCACGACGTCTGTATTGGCCCACGCTGCCCCCCCCGCACACTCCCTGGCATTCCGTCGTTCCTGGGCAATGAATTTGTTCGAAGAGCCAGAAAGCATTTTTTAATAAACATCAACTTTCGGCGCTCCGCGCGGATCTCTTGGATCTGCGCTGTGGCCCCCTGGCGGCGCCCTTGGCGCGCTCGGCGCGCTAGGGAGGGGGGTCTAGCGCAGATCCCAGACGTCCGCGCGGAGCGCCGAAAGTTTCCGTTTGTACCGCTGCTTCGCCCTCCAATTCTGAGCCCGATGGCCCCAGGGATCGGGGGCCCGTGGGGTATACACCGAAGTCAGACATCGATGCGAGATGCGCCCTGCAGATCTCATGGCCAGATCTCCAACCACACGTAGCAGCCGTGGCCCGCAGAAGGCACTCGTACCGCCTGCGCGCCTGGCCAGAGCCATCCTGGGCCCTTGCATGAAGTCGGGCACGTCCCCCGACAGGAGGAATAGTCAGACATAGTCATTAAGAAAAGGCTTGGGACGATGTTTTGATTACTTGTTCCGTATGCTTTGAACCTATGTTGACTATGTTTTGTTGTTCGTCCAATATCCGCTTGTACGGGGGCATGCCCGACCTAACCCTTGTATCGTGTATACGCCCTGCTGGTCGAGACCAGGAGCGTAGGGCCAGGTATGGCCTTGGCCAGACATGGTGTTGGCGTATACAGTCGGGGCCCTGAAGAAGGATCCCTTTTCGTTGGGGAGGGGCTCGGTGTTCCTTGATTGTTCTGCAGTTTGCCTTCGGTTGTCCTGAGGTTTCCCATGGGAAATCGAAGCCTTGGGTCAACGCCCCGACTGTCGGGTGGGGACTTTCTCCTCCGCGTGTCGCTCCGCTGGTTCTGGCCCACCACTGCTTCGGCCCGACACGCTGACCACGACCTGACCCCTCCAGTCTCCCGCCCCGCGCAGCGGAGCGCCACGCTACAGTCGGGGCGTTGACCTGAGGAACCCTGAATAAGGAACGAGGCCCCTTTTATCCATGAGTTAACTTCGGCTCCCCATGGAAAACCTGAGGAACACCTTAGGCAAACTGTGAAACAATCAACACCGAGCCCCTCCCCAACGAAAAGGGTTCCTTCTTCAGCGCCTCGACTGTATCCGCCCGCAGGGCGTGGTTTGTCGCCAGGGCCGCCCCCCGCGACACGCCAAGGAAAAGTTCCTGACCGCAGATGCCTTCTGCGCACGTCGTCGTGGTCGTCAATGCCTTCTGCGCACGTCGTCGTCGTCGTCGTCGTCGTCGTGGTCGCTTGGAGGCCAGGCGCCGGTGCGCCCGGGCCCGGGTGGGTGGCCTTGGGCCTTCCCCTCGCTTAGCCTGGCAGGGTTCCGAGGGACGCTGTTTCTTTTTTTGCCCGGCCCAGCCTCCCTGTGTTGGGGATACGTTCGAGGCGGGTCTGTCCCCCTATCGCCGGCTATCACCGGGCGCGTTTCATTTTTCGCAAAGTGCCTACTCGCAAACGTCCGAAAAGCACATGTCTGCTTTGATGTATTGTATCCTAGATCCCCCGCGGCGGATCCAGGCCATTTGCGAGTAGTTACTTTGCGAGTAGTGGAACGCGCTCGTCTAGACTAACATGGGTCATGGTGATGAATGAGCGCGCATTCTTAAAACAAGGTTTGGAGAAAGCGATGATTTACGAAAGCGATAAACGGACGTATCAAGTTTCGCCGCCTACCCAAAACAAAACATGCCATCATTTAGTAAAAACAAGAAGCGGCTTACTAAATTAATAGACGGATTTTCTAGATCAGGGGCCGTTTTTCCATATCCCAGATCCCATTACTACTATGACTTGAGCGGCTCGATCACTCAACACGAGGAACATTCAAAAATAGTCCAACAAATAATGTGGGAACGATGTTTCCAGCAGGTTGGGACTATGTTCGAGCATTTTTTATCTTTCGTCCGAATTCCGCCTGTAGGGGGACATGCCCGACCGAAGGACACGTTCCGTTTGCGTTTTCGCAGAAGGATTTGGCTTGGGACTTTGCGCTGAGTTGGGTAGTCGTCGCTGGCTGCGCTTCTCCCCATCGCCTCCTCCCTCTTCCCCCAAAGATCGATATGAAGAAAATACGTGCTGGCCCAAAACAGTAGCCGCGCCCACTCCGACCAATCTCTACGAAGAGCAGGGGCCCTGGAGGAAGGAGGTCTTGGAGGATTGTGCTTCCCAGGGCCTTCCACAACGCGATCCAGGATGACAATCTGGACCCAAGCCCCAGGGATCCGCTTTCGCCAGGACGCGCCTCCTTCACGTCAAGCCCAGGAGGGATTGGGGTGACCAAGAGGGGGCTTGCTTTGCCTGTAGTCCGGGAGCCTGGGTCGGAGAACAGTCTTCACTACTGGCTGTTCGGGGTCTCTCGTCGCCGTCGCACCTCAGGATCAGCCATGGAAGAGCACAGTTTCGGATGGCGCAGGGTGATGAGCGAATACCAGACGCGCCCCCTGTTGCGAAGCTCGGTCGAGTCGTACCCCGCAGCCTTGGGACAGTCCTAGTTCCCGCCAACGTCTAGAATCCAGGGTCATTGTTCGATCTCTCGACCCCTGAAGGGGGGCTGGGCGGATTACGGCACGGGTAATATTCACCACATCGACCACCGCTTCGTGGAATGCGGCCTTGGCCACTTCCAGAACCACTTCTCCGGAAGGCTCTGGTTTCGGGAGCGCTCTAGCAGCGGAAGGAAGCAGAAGTTGAGGACTGTCTGCATGCCGAGCCTCAGGAGTTGACAGTTATTGTTGCTAGCGGGCAATCTCTTGGAGAAGGCATGGGTTGACAGTTCAAGTTGCTCGGCGGGCGCGGGCGGTGTGCGGGATGTTTGTGCACTGCAGGGAAACATTCGAAGACGCCTACGTCGAGTCACAGCCGCCCGTGCCTTTTGGCCACACCTGCTGTTGCAAGATCTTCCAGAATTGTTGGCATAAGGTATAGGCGCTTGCTCAGAATCTTGCATGTTCGCATCCTGGTAGAAGCGCGACGCAGGACGATTGCATTTCGCAGTCGTGTTTCCGCAAGAGTGCTCTCCACGAAAGGCACCGGTGGCCGAGCGTCAATGCGACCGCTGTTGAACATCGGGAACAGGTGGCTTGAGTCGGCTCCCCTCGATGGGCCTTTGGGGGCCGTCCTGGGGCTGCCTGCACGCCGCGCCCTCCTCCCCCCTCCCCCCTGGGAGCAAACCCCTCCCCGAAGGCGAAGAAGGGGGTTGGAAGATAAGGCGCTCCAGTAGGGGAACAAAAAATGGCATACACATAAAAACTCGGAGGTCCGCGCGGCTTTCTCGGATCGGCGCTGGACCCCCCTTCCTGGCGCGCGGAGCTCGCCAGGGGCAGCGCTGGAGGCGCCGCCAGGGGGGTCCAGCGCCGATCCGAGAAAGCCGCGCGGACCTCCGAGTTTATATATTTATGTCACTTGTTGTTCCCCTAGGTTGGAAGGTAAGGCGCTCCAAACCACCGCTCAGTGGGCTAGTGGGACTACTGGATCGCTTAGTCCATTCCGCCAGCCCACACAGCGTGGCTGGGTCATGGACACGAGGCTTATTTGGAAGGTTGCTTAGAGTCTGTCGGGAGGCCTCCTGCAGGCATTTTTGGAGGCCCCTGGGGCCTCCGGAGGCCTCTTTGGAGGGTCGTCGTGGTCGTCTGGAGGCCTCCTGGGGCTATCTTGTGGGATTATTTTCATTTGTCCGAAGATCCTACGGGAGCGTCGGGAATCTTGTCTGCGCATCGACTTCAAAATTTGCATCTTGCACCATTCACCACGGCTCCAGAGACCCATCTGTGTGGCCCAGAGGGGAAAATCTCATCGTGCGATTCAGAGGAGAAGCATGGACCACCGCCACCGACAGTCCATCGATAGGGGGGGCCAACCCCTGGGCGGTTGCACGTCCGAGCGTCACCCCGCGCGTGACTCGTACCCGTCACCATGATGTCAACTCGGCTCCCGATCCCGAACGTGGCCAGGAGGAGGAGGAGGCGGAGGAGGAGGAGGAGGAGGAGGAGGAGGCGGAGGAGGAGGAGGAGGTGCCGTCTCGGAACCCTCGCCGAGCTCTGGCTGCCAGAAGCAGGGCCTCCACCCTCCAGGGGGCGAACCGCAGCACCACGAGGGGAGGGGGGATCCGTCTTCTTACGGCAGGCTCGCGTCGTGCCGACCGGCGGCGACCCCAGCGCGTGCGCTTCAGGTTGAACCAAGGGCGCCCTCGAGGGCGCGAAGTTATTCGCGCTTCGCGCTTCGCGGTTCGGCTCCGATTCCTCCTCATCCTCCTCTTCCCCCCTGGAAGGCGGCGCGAGAGCGCGAAGTCATTCGCACTTCGCGTTCCGCGCAGCGCGAAGCGCGAAGTTGGGAGCCCTTGTGAACGCCGCCCGTGGCCCAGAGTCGGCCCATCGTTGAACGACCCGGCGTTCACGGAGCGGCCGAGTGTTCAAGTCTGAACGATCCCCGCGGCGTCAGGAACCCAATGCCGGGGCCGACGCGACGCCAGCCTGCCGTGCCCCCCCTCGGGCGCGCTGGCGACCCGGCTCAGTCTCTCCGACGAGCCGTTCTTTGAGGACATGCTGCTCGTCGGCAACATCGACAACACGGCCGGCTACTCCACGGGGGTGAGCCTCGGTGACCGCACGCCGAAGGACGCGCTATTCATTGTTTCGTGCCCCAAATCTACATGGGAGACCCACGCCAAGAAACACCTGGCTTGCCTCAAGGGCGCCCTGGGTTTCTTGGCTTTCGATGGTTTTTTCAGCGGGAGGCGTGACGCTCCCACACCACAAATCCATGGACGTCCTGGGGTCTCAGGGTTGGGTTTCTCGTGGAAGGTTTCTTGTGCACTGGCCTCCACTGTATTACCGGGACGCATCCGCCTCCGCCCTGCCCCACTTCCCCCTCATCTGCAGACTCACACGCAAAGGCAACGCAGACACATAGTAACTTTACACCCAGACCCGCCCAGACCGAGACTCACTCATCACTCACACGCGGGCTCGCTTACGCTCCGAGTTGCTCACACCCAGACGCACTCCCACCCAGACTCACCCGCCCGTGGGCACCGCGGCGCAGCAGGCATTGCACTTGAGCGCGCCCAGGGGGGCGCCGTCTGGGGGTGTTGCACTCAGCCCGCTCGCGGCCAGGTGTGTGTGGGGGGACGTCTCGGGCGGTGTGCTCGCTTCGGGGCTGGGGCCCCTGAGCTTTCAGAGCAGATCGTGAGGATGTCCCGGGCGGGGCGCTCGCTTCAGCACCCCAGGGGGGGGGGGCGCCATCGAGTATCACACTCACCCGTTCGCGGACAGGTTGTGGGGACGTCTCGGGCGGTGTGCTCGTTTCGGGGCTGGGGCCCCTGAGCTTTCAGAGCAGATCGTGAGGATGTCCCGAGCGAGGCGCTCGTTTCAGCACCCCAGGGGGGGGGGGGGGCCGCCATGGAGTATCACACTCATCCGTTCGCGGACAGGTTGTGGGGATGTCTCGGGCGGTGTGCAGGGGCAGAAGGGGAGCTGATTGCGGCGATTGGTAAACAGGTTCGTGTCTTGGCCAGGCAGGGCTTCTGGCCTACAGCAGGGGACCGCTGCTCCTCCGAGAGGGAGTGCGCACCGCATATCAGTAACTCTTTCTCCAGTGACATAACTTGGCGACGGCTGGGGATGTGTAAGCCTTCCTGCGCGGTTGATTCCGACGTTAATAGGTCGAAACGGGCTACACGTTTCAATGACGTTCTGTACAGAATGAAGACGGGCAACTACCGCAATTGTATTCCAAACTTGACACCGTTGGTGCATACATGTGCCTGGTAGCCGCAGCCATTTGCTCCAAGCGGCCACTTTCCGAGTGGGACGGTTACCCGCTTCTGATTGAGCAGCAGCGAGCGCGAGCTGCCCAAGCTGTGCGCCAAAGCTGTGCACCGCTGCAGTAGAATTGCCACGGCATTGCAGATTCTTGCAGGCATGCGTTCGCAGAAGCACACATATATATATATATATATATATATGTATGTATATATATAGCTGTTGCGTGGTCTGGGCCTTTCGGGGGCACCGCTGGAATGCTCCATGGTCACTTGGAGCCTTCCTGGGACGATCTTGGGGCCTCCTGGATGTATGCTGGAGACCATCTGGAGCTATCTTGTCCAAGGCCGCGCTAACGGCAATGTTGGTTAACGGCGATGTTGTGACTCCGATGTTTGTGACGCCGAGCTTGCGCAGAACAAAATGTAGGAAATCACTAAACATCATCCCCTACATTTCAAATATGAGAACGTATCGAACGAAAAGGACACAGCGAGTTGTAAGAAATCACGAACCACGCGTTCCTACTATTGGTTTTGCCACGGACCACGCCTTCCTACAATTGGTTGTCCTACATCGCCGTGAGCTAACACACCGATAGCGCGTCTACGGCTTGTGTTGTCTTGAGCCACCCTGGAGGCCATCGAATGCCATCCTTGGAGGCCCTGCAGCGTCGCGCGCCCTCCAGACCCCTCGCAGAGGCGGGCCAGCCCCTCCCGTCGAATGGCGGGCATATGGCCACAGGCCCGACCAGGTCTCGCAAAGGCCTTCAAAAACAAAGTTCCCGTGCCGCCCAAAGCTTTCCCTAGAGGCCCGCAAAGGCCCCAGCAGGCCCCCAAACGGCTTCCAAGAGGCCCCCAAACGGAGCGTTTTTTTATTCGTTGTTTTTGCCGATCGGCGCGGGCCCTCGTACCCCCCCTCCCTCCCCCCTCACTGCAGTGGATCTTGGCTGTTTTTGGCGCCTGTTTCGAGTGGGGGGAGTCTCCCCCAGAGACCGCACTCTTGCAAACTGTCGCACTACGCAGAGGTCCGGAGCCAGAGCCCCGCCCTCCCTCCCCCCTTCTGCCCAATGTCGAAGCGCCGAATCGAGAAACGTTCACTAGATGCCCGCAGAGCAGGACTCGTTTCGATTCCTCCGATTCGGTTCGATTCGATTTCGATGGCTTCCGATTTCGATTCGATTCGACTTCGGATTCCGATTTGTGCTCCGATTTCTCACTGGACGCATACAAGCCTGCCGATTTCCGCCGATTCGACTTCTCCCGCCGATTTCCGCCGATTCGATTAATTTCGATCGCCGATCCGACTTATCGATTCGATTCTGGGCTCTCATGCCGGCAGAGGCCCCAACAGGCCTCCAAGCGGCTTCCGAGAGGCCCCACGCTACCGAGGGCCTCCGCAGGGGCCCCCGACAAGCTCCCGAGGGGGTCCCAAGAGGCCCCCCCGGAGGCTGCGCTGGGCGGGGAGGGGGGGAGGTCTTCCTGTGTGGGGTTTGGGGGGGGGGGGGGGGGGGGCGTCCGGCGTGGGGTAGCGACGGCGGCGGCGAGAAGGGAGTGGAGGCCATGGCCATGGGCGCTTCATCGATGGCGCTTGGGATTTCTGGCCTCTCGCAATGTCGGGATCATTCTCCTTCCAGAATCTCGCAATTTCCGCCGATTCGACTTCTCCCGACTGGGCTGCCGATTTCCGCCGATTCGATTCATTTCGATCGCCGATCCGACTTATCGATTCGATTCTGGGCTCTCATGCCGCAGAGGCCCCACCAGGCCTCCCAACGGCTTCCGAGAGGCCCCACAGTGCTGAGGGCCTCCGAAGGGGCCCCCGACAAGCTCCCGATAGGGGGTCCCAAGAGGCCCCCCCGGAGGCTGCGCTGGGCGGGGAGGGGGGGAGGTCTCCCTTCAGGAGGGGAAAAACACACAGACACGATTAATCGGCGATTCCCAGAAAACATGGGAAAATATGGGAAGTGGGGGGGAAGACAGAAACCCGGAAAATATGGGGAAATATGGGGAATATTTTTCTTTGTGTATTTATTTGTGTGTCCCAGTTCCCCTTCATTCCTGTGTGGGGTTGGGGGGGCGTCCGGCGTGGGGTAGCGACGGCGGTGGCGAGAAGGGAGTGGAGGCCATGGGAAGGAAGGAAGTTTGCTGAAACATGCTGGAGAGGGATCGGCATCTTGGCACGTAGCCTCCCATCGGGGCTCGGGCTTCTCAGACAGCTACTGGCCGTGTCAAGAGCACCTCCTCAGCAAGTCGCATGCACCACATTCGTGCCACCCCGCAGGCAAACATGGATCTGCTGGTGGTTCTCATGCTTGCCCTGGCTCCCTCGGAGAGAACGCGCCGCCCCCCGCAGCCCTCCTGCGAGCGGCCCCCCCCGTCCCGGAGATGGCACCCGTGCCAGGACAACGAGAACTACTTCATCTCCGGCCTGAAGGCGGGGTACATGTCGGTTTGATCGATCCTATTCGAGATCGACTCCGGCTGGTCCGATCTGATTCGGTTCCTGCATGCCGACGATCCGATGCGGCCCGATGCGTGCATGGCGCTCCTGTGCATCCTGGCGCAGCCGAGCCGGTTCCATCTCGATCATGTGCCGATGCAGCCCGGTCCCCGACGCACGTTGCTCGATTTGATCTGGGCCACCGACTCGATGTCGGCCGATCCTGCGGAAGGTCGTGGGCGAAGCACATGTCCGTATCTGCGGCTTCCCGGGCTGGGCCCTTGGTCCACGACCCCGCGGATGCAGGGCGTTTTGTTCGCGGACGCCCCGCGGGACGCAGCCGTGCGACCGCGCACCCGCGGGGTCGCGCCCCGGAAGCCAGACCGCGAGGGCGCGGGTACGGACATCTTCGACGCTCGAGAAGGTGATCAACTACTTCGACACGCCGGCGCTCTACGGCTGCTTCATGACCAATCGGGTGCTGCGAAAGGTGCCCCTGGCCCAAGGTGACCCCAGCTTTTCGCAAAATTCTGGAGCCCCTGGGGCCCTCTGGGCCTCGTGAGGGGTGCTCTGGAGACCGCGGGGGCCTCCTTGGAAATCCCGGGAGGCACCCTGGGCCAGGCCCAGACGTCCGGCTGCTCCAACTCTTTCGCTGCGCGTGGGCCTCGGAGGTCCGGACCACTTCACCATGTGGGGCCAGTTTTGCGTCCTGCGTCGTTGACGCTCCCGAGGCCCGGCGAGGGCACCCCATATCGACTAGACGTAAGAGTGACCTTTCGCAGGAGTGACCTTTGGTGCGGGCACAGATGGGCCCCCAGGTGGCTGAAAACGAAGCAGGAGCAGCTACTTGCGCGCCCATGTTTGGTCCCCCTGCGGCCCCCAAAAGGCCGCGCGCCAAAGGTCACTCTTACCCAGGGTCACTCTAGCGTATTGCCCCCCAGAGGCCGAAGACGGCCAACAGTTGCCCGTTCCTCATGTTTTGGAGCGTCGGGCCCCTGGGGGGGGGGGCACGTCTACCAACACCAGGACCATGTGCACCATCCGCGTCGAGCGGGCGGAGTGGTACAACTCCTCCGTCCGCACGGCCCGCCCCTCCCGCCGTGCACGGGGTCCGCGCGGCGCCGGTCTGCTCGGGGGGCTCTGGCCGCGCCCCTGCTGCCGTCGCCTCCCCGCCCCCATCTCGGTATCGTTCCGCTGGGCATCGCTCGGACGCGCGCCTTTTTTCGGCATCGTTGAACCGATCCCCATCCCCATCCCCATCCCCTTCGAGATCCCCACCAAACTGCCCCCCCCAGTTGGGGATACACCCCTCGAGACCCGAGGGGAACGACCGATGTCCCCATCTCGGGGGGTGAATCGGCCAGCGGGGCCCAGGCCACGCCGCTGGGGATGGGGATCGGTGAAACGATACCCCTTCTTTTCTCGGCGGGGGCCATCGAGGAGCATCCTGGATCAGAGGTTGATCGACCTCCTACCCTGACACGTCGATTAGCGAATTGGCCGTTCTCGGTTCGCGAGAGGGCATCGCGGCCGTCAGTTTGCGGCTCCAGGTCCGTCGGTTTCGGTCCTAGGCCGCTTTCACTACAGGGTGGTTTGCTAAAGGGAAGTTTGTCCACCGCCGAGGTTCGGTTCCGGCATGCCGACGCTCCGATGCGGCCCGATGTTTGCACCGCGTTCTTGTGCATCCTGGCGCAGTCGAGCCGATTCCATTTCGATCATGTGCCGATGCAGCCCGGTCCCCGACGCACGTTGCTCGATTTGATCTGGGCCACCGACTCGATGTCGGCCGATCCTGCGGAAGGTCGTGGGCGAAGCGCATGATTGTATTTTTCTCGGCGGGGACTTTGTGGGCCCGTGAAACGGCAGGGCCGTTTTTCCACCGTTTCCACGAAAATGTCCCTTGAAAATGGAAATGGCAAAACAAAAACGACCAGAAACGGCAAAACAACGGCTCCGGGATGGGAACCGGAGCCGGAGCTGGTCCAAAAACGGCGACGGAACCGGTACCAAAAACAGCGTCGGGACCGGCAAACAAAAAAACGGCAAAACGGAACCGGTAAAAAAACGGCCCTGTCGCTTCCGGGGCCCGCTGAGGGCGGGGACAGTCGAGGAGCATCCCGGAGCATCCTGCAGCGGGAAAACAAGAACAGAGGCCCTGGAAACGACAGGGCCGTTTTTTTACCCTCAGCGTCCCCTCCCCGTGCCTCTCTCCCGGAGCATATCCTGCAGCGGGAAGACCAGAAGAGAGGCACGCGCGGCACCGACGAGAGAGGGACAGAGGCACGGGGAGGGGACGCCCGAGCGACGGCGAGCCACAACGTCAGGAGGAGGAGGAGGCGGAGGAGGAGGAACATGATGACGATGACGATGAGGGCGATGGGGTGGGTAGGAGGAGGAGGAGGAGGAGGGGGAGGAGGCGGAGGAGGCGGAGGAGGAGGAGGAGGCGGAGGAGGAGGAGAAGGAGGGGGAGGACCGCTCCCCGTCCCGCTGCCCCACTTGGAGACGTGCCCCTCGAAGGCCGAACGGAACAGCCTGTGTCACCCCCCGTCTATGGGGGTGGAGCATCGGCCAGTGGGCCCAGGCCACGCTGGTAGGGATCTGCCGCCCCGCCGCCCCAACGTGATCGAAGAAGGAGGAGGAGATTGAGAAGGGCGAGGAGGAGGAGGAGCAGGAGGAGGAGGAGGACGAGACCGAGGTCGACGAGGTCGACGAGGTCGAGGAGGTCGAGGAGGAGGAGAAGGAGGTCGAGGAGGAGGAGGAGAAGGAAGAAGAAGGAGAAGAAGAGGGAGCGACGTAAACATAAGCTTTCGGATTTCTGGCCCGAGTTCTTGGATCGGCGCCGGAGGCGTCACCAGGGGGGGCCAGCGCCGATCCAAGAAATCTGCATGTTGATGCCCTTTTCCTTGCCCCTGCACGATGGCAGTGTGGTCCTGCGAGAGAGGGGTCCCGAAGTTGTTGGCCGGCTTCGGCCCCCCGAAGGGCCCCACTCGGGCCTTGGGGCCGTCAGTAAGTTGGCTCGGGGCAAACGGCTGGTCTCGGGGAAGCCTTTCGAGGTTCAGGGCATGTGCGTGCCCGCTGGGATTGTCTTCACACGTGCTAACCTCTCCCCCGCCCACCGTGTTCTGCCTCTTAGCCATGCCCGGCGGCCTCGCACTCGTGCAGCTTCTCGGCTGCACACCTCTGGCACTCCGCGATATTCGATACTGCTTGGGAGATCGAGCCGCACGCACTCGTGCTTTCCTGAACGGCTGCGTACGAGTGTGTGCTGTGCCTGTGTGAGTGCGTGTTTGTGTGAGTGCGTGTTTGTGTGTGTGTGTGTCGTGCCCTGCGGCTTAATTCGCGTTTTGTGTGACCCACTAATGCCACATCGCCAGAGCAGTCCCCCTGCCCAGCCGCCGACGCAAAACGCGCGTGTGTGTGTGTGTGTGTGTGTGTGTGTGTGTGTGTGTGTGTGTGTGTGTGTGTGTGTGTGTGTGTGTGTGTGTGTGTGTGTGTGTGTGTGTGCGTGCGTGTGTGTGTGTGTGTGCGTGCGTGCGTGTGCGTGCGTGTGTGTGTGTGTGTGTGTGTGTGTGCGTGCGTGTGTGTGTGTGTGTGTGCAATGTTTGTGGGTGTGGGTGTATGTGTGTATGTGCGTCGCTGCGGCCCGCCGGCTCTGCAGGCGCGCCTGCGGCCGCCGCCGCTGCCGGCAGGTTCTCCGCGCTGCGTGAGCTCGGGTGGCCCGATTTCTGCCGCTTGACTTGGCCCAGGCAGGGCCGCCGCGCGCGTGGCAGCGACGCCAACAGAGATGTCTGCGTGTGTGTGTGTGTGTGCTTTGCGACACTGTCTCTCGTTGGTCCCCCTTTGTCCTGATTCGGCGGGCCGGTCTTCGGCGCGCCTGGGATTCACTTGCCCGCTCTTGCCTGGCTTTAGTTCACTCAGTCGAGCGGTTTAACGTCTGTTCTTTTAGAGTGGCGTTAGCTCGTCTGCACTGGGCGTGACCTTCGCACGCTCGCGAGGCGCCCTGCCCCAGCCGCATGCGCTCAAAAGGGTTTGCGTTTGTGTGTGTGTGTGTGTGTGTCGGCCCGCGCGTTCCTCTTCGGCTTTGGCTACTCTGCACTGCTGCGCGCGTGGCCGCGACGCCAAAAAGTGCTCGCGCGTGTGTGTGTGTGTGTGTGTGTGTGTGTGTGTGTTTTTGTTTCCCTCGGATCACCTTCTGCGGACATTTCGGCCGGCCTGGGTCAGGCGGACTTCGCCTGCGTGTCCCCGGCATGCCCGTGCGCCCCGCGCGCCCCCCGCAGTCCAGCGACGAGCTCATATCCGGCATCTTCCACGACCTCGACGGAACGCTCACAGGTCGGATGTTGCCAGATCTTCGTGGGCAATGGAAGCGACAGGGCAGTTTCTCCCAACCCGTTCCGTTGGTGTGGGGTCCTCGCTTTGCAGAGACAGCAACCCGCGTTCCTGACCTCCTCCTCCCCTCCCCTCTCCTCCTCCTCCTCCTCCTCCTCCTCCTCCTCCTCCTCCTCCTCCTCCTCCTCCACCCTCCCTCCCTTCCTCCCTCACTCCCTTCTCCCTCCTCCCACCATTACTAGTCCCCTGCATCTGCCAGCGAGTGCCCATGCCGGCACACCCCTCACACGTTTCGTGGCCCCATAGGGAGCTCCACCGAAGGCCTCAGTGGCAGAGTTCACACGCGGCTCCCCGCCAACAGCATGTCCATTTCGGCATGCACCTCAAACATTTCGCGGCCCGTAGGGAGTTCCACCACAGGCCCCAGTTGCAGTGTTCACATGCGGCTCCCCGCCCATCGCATGTTTATTTTGGAACACCCTCGCACGTTTCGTGGCCCCGTAGGGAGCTCCACCGGAGGGCTCAGTGGCAGGGTTCGCATGCGGCTCCCTGCCCAGCGCATGTCCATGTCGGCACACCCCTCACACGCTTCGTGGCCACATAGGGAGGTCCTTGAAGGCCCCAGTGGCAGGGTTTACACGCGGTTCCCTGCCCACCAAATGGCCATTTCGGCACACACCCCACACGTCTCGCGGCCCCGTAAGGAGCTCCACGGAAGGCCCCAGTGGCAGGGTTCACTTCCGGCTCCCCGCCAACAGCATGTCCATTTCGGCATGCACCTCACATGTGGCCGCACAGGGAGCTCCACCGAAGGCCCCAGTGGCAGAGTTCACATGCGGCTCCCTGCCCATCGCACGGCCATTTCGGCACACTCTCAGACGCTTCGTGGCCCCTGATGGAGCTCCACCAAGGACGATACTCATCATTGCAGCACTCAGAACTGCATAAGGCTGGATCCTTCACCCAGATTCGTCTGTTTTGTTTTACCGCTTTCGTGTTCCAGTATTTCTACCGTTTCCAGCGCTGCTTGTTCGGCGGTTCTGGCGCCATTGTTTTACCGCTTTCGTTTCCGCTGGCTGCGGCCTGGTCCAGACCACAGTTTCTCGTATGAACCGTTTACAAACAAAATATGTTTCGAATGTTCATCTGGTCTCAGGACTGCCCAGGCCGTTTCGGTGAGCCGGTTTGTCGTAGTTTCGACGAGCGTTGTTTTGTTTTGTTCCCGATTTCATGATCAAGAAACGACAGGGCTGAGAACGGTACGAAAAGCAGCCGTGCCGCTTCCAGGGCCCACTTAAGTGCCACACCCGGATCTCCGACGATCTGTTTCTTTCAATCCAGGTATTTTTTCGTCGATTCCGCCCTGTGGGGGTCGGGTCCCAGGGCCATGAAACATGAGCCCGGGGCTGAAAGAATAGCTGGCCTCGGGGAAGGGGGCGGTTTCTGTTTGGGCCGCGCATTTGGATCATCAGATCGGCGGATGTCTGCGGAGGCGGTCCTGGAAAAAGGTTTCCTCCGATAATTGCATCATGTTCGGTCCCCCGCGACGCGCCCGGCCTCGTTCTGTAAGCCGCCTGGGGTGCCCTGGAGAAGCTGGGGATACCCTTTTGGGCCGGGGCCACCCCTGCCAACACCCGAGCAGGGTATCCGAACGGCTTCGTGTCGATGTACACGCCCTTCAATGAGTGGGACGGCCTGTGCCACGTCACCGACCAGCACAGGCGGCTGGGCGAAGCCGCGTCTTCCCCCTTGCATCCTCACAGCCCAGCAGTGCCTCCTTCTCCTCCCCCCTCCCCCCTCTTCCCTCTCCGTCTTCCCCTCCTTCCTCCTCCCCGTCCTCCTTTTCCTTTCCTCCTCCCGCTCCTCCCTCCCCCCTCCTCCCTCCTCCCTCCTCCCTCCTCCTCCTCCTCCTCCTCCTCTTCCTCCTCTTCCTCCTCCTCCGATACTTATTCTTTATCTAATCGCTTCGCTCATTCTGCCGGCCCTGGAGCGCTATTTGGGGCCTCTTGGGGCCGTCTTGGGGGCTTCTTGGGAGCGTCTTGGGGCTCCTTGGCGGCGTATTGGGCCTTCCTGGGGCCTCTTGGGGGCCTCTTGGGGGGCTCTTGGGGGCCCCTTGGGGCGGGAGGGGGGGTAGTCGATTGCAGCCCCCCCCCTCGGAGGCCACGATCCTCGTAAGGAGTGGCGAAAAATAGCCTCCCCTCTGGGGATCGCCCGGGACCCAGCCGGGGATCGGCCGGGGTACTTTTCGTCCGGGGTCCCCCAGGGGCCGCCCCGCGCGCGCGATCTAGAAATATTGTTAAGTAGTTACCGGAGATCTTAGCACGCCTCTGGCCCGTTGGGCCGGCGAATTCGGATATACTCTTACTCCCCCTCTGTCCGGCCGATAGCAACCCCATTTGGGCCCTCCCATCCTGATTGTAAAAATCCGCACGAAGTTTCCGTGATTCCTCTCAATATGGCCTGTCTTGTCGTCGACGATGCGAAACGCGCGTAAAGAATGGGACGCGGCGCACATCGCGCGCGGACGTCAATTTGGGCCTTCCCATCCGGACTCCGCAACACATTGATACAAAGTTTCCGTTGTTCCTCTCAGCATGGCCTGTCTTGTCGCCGACGATGCGAAATGCGTAGCAGGAATAGGACGCGGCGCGCATCGCTCGCGGACGTGTGGGGCAACCCCGAGCGGGAGGGGCCATCTCACCTGTCCAAAATTCAGACAAAGTCGACATGTTTCTTCTCGGCGAGGACTTTCTTGTCGTCGGTTTTGTGAAATGCGTGGCAGGAATGGGGCGCGGCGCACATCGCGCGCGACAGGGCGAAATGTCGCTGTCGCTTCGGCGCCACGCGCATGTTTCGTGAAAGTTGCCCTCCCGCTACAGCGCGGCGCTCGAGCGCCTAATTAGGGCCTTCCGGGGCCTCCCAGGGTCTCCTGGGACATCCTGAGGTTTCCAGGGGTTCCCCAGGGCCTCGTGGATCCTCCTAGGGGCTCCTGAGGCATCCTGGGGCTTCCTGGGGTTCCCTGGGGCTTCCTGACACCTCCTAACGCTTGATGAAGACTCCTGTAACCTCCTAGGGCTTATTGGGCCCTCCTGAAGTCTCCTGGGGTTTCCTTGGGTTCGCTGGGGCTTCCTGCGATTTCCTGGGGCGTCCTGAGGCCTTGTGGGGCCTCCTGAGTCTTCCTGGGGCTTCCTCGGCTCGTGCTGAAATGCCAGCGCAGTCTGTGAGACGCGCCAGGAATTTCCCATCGGTGACCGCCATCATGGCTGCATCAGGTGTGGCAAACCACCTTGCCGATTTGATTTCTGTCCCCACTTGTGCCAGCACTGTTTCTTACATTGTGAGAGTGCGGGTGGGAATGGGCATGCCATGCTTGACTCGCTTAAGCTGGCTAGCTTTACTCCTCCTTCTGCTCTTTCTCCTCTTCCGTAGCCGTTGTGGCTGAAGATGTTATGTTCCCCAGTGGAGAATCCTCCCCCGCGGGTGCGCGCGCTCGAAACGGCGACGCTCCGCAAGGTCGCCCCCGGCCCCTGCAACTGGGCTTCTAAGGAGGACCTGTGGTACCTTCGGGAGGGTTATGGGCAGGCCAAATCGTGCGTTTCGATTGAGCTAATGGCCCAGGCGGCCCAGCTCCGAGTTGCTCATCATGAATCGTGGACTGCTTCGGGGGGCTCCTTGGGCACCCGGGCTAGGCGAATGGAAGGGCTGATCGGGGCGCCCTCCTTCCTGCAGAGGCGATTTCGTTGGAATGACTGGTATTCGAGGTCGTACGCTGGTCTGCTTTACCGGAACCGGTTCTCCATGAGTGCCAGGGGCATCACATTCGACACCATCGCGTCCAACATCAAGCTCGCATCCCCAAGCGTAGAAGACGGGCCAAAGATGGAGCGAAGGGTACGCAATGGCTTCCAGCGTGAGGCCTACAAGCTTTTTAAGGCGAAGGGCCAACCTGATTTCGTCGGGCGGATCCGCCACAAGACGGCCAGGTGGCATCTTTCGGGCCCGCCGGCACGCTCGGCCGCCCGTGTGGCACGCCATGTTCAACGCCTTCCTGCCTTCGTTGCACCTCGTGTTCAAGCCGCATGTTTGTCAACGTTGTGGAACAGATGGTGCACGCCACGTCGTTTACAGAATCGGGCTTCCCCCACGAACCGGTGTTTGCTGGGCTGCCCAGGCCATGCGGAGGATTCGATCGAGCACTACATATTTTGCAGGTGCGTGCGACGGGTCGCCGATAATTTCCTCAACATGCGCCGCATCACGCCCTTCACAGTTGACCATTTTATGCTGGCGCACCAGGTGTTCTCGGAGGACGCGGAGGCCTTGACTTGCATGGCAGTCCTCCTGTACGCCGTGTATGATACGACCAACCAATACAGACCGCTTGGCGGAGTATCGGAGAACACAGCGTTCGAGGCCATCCAGCAGCAGTGTCGCAACGCCGTGGCGGGGCACAGCGCCAGCATGAGGATCGTGGATTCGCTCTGGGCTGAGCGGCCCCAGATCCGCCCCCGCAGGAAGACTCCTATGTATTTTCCTCTTCCCATTTTCCCTCGCTTCCTCCTTCTGGTTCGTCTGTTGTGCTCCAGCGTGGTACGGCGACCGCAGCCTTGCCTACCCTCTGCGGGGTAGGGCCCGCTGTGCCTCCAGGCCAGTTTCCTTCGATTTGTGTTAGTTGCCCCGTCTCCCGCAATAGGTGAGGAAGACAGCGGCTTTCAAATGCAACCGTCTTGTCGCTCGTTTTTTCTCCTCCTCCGCCTCCTCCTCCCTTGGTTCTCCTCCTCCTCCTCTCTCCTGCGTGCTCCAGATTTGCTCCGCCGGAGCACGTTCCAGCGTGCTCCGGAAACGCCTCGCCGGAGCACGTTAGATTCGGTGCCCTTTTCTAGTGGGCTCGCATAAAACTGTATATACATATCCCTAGTTTTGATGGGTCGCGAACTTGTTCCAACGCCAATCGCGACACGGAAAGAAACAAATGTTATGTTCCCCAGCGGGCACAGTGTATGCCCTAGTCCGTGGCTAGCATCCTTCTCTTCACACCTCTATCGGCATTCTCACCTGCGCCGCTGCTGCCAAGCGTCAGCGATTCCATGCCTGATGTTCCCGAGGCCAAGTCGAAGCGCAGTGGAAATCAGCCCTGGAAGAAAACGTTGCTTGGTATCTCTGGGCGTGCTGCTTTTGCTGGTGACAGTGGTTCAGCTGGCTTTGCTGATGGTCCCTCCGGGTCATGCGACGAGCATGTTGACGACCTCCATGAGCACATCCGCGCCGACTGCGCGGTCGACGTCTTGGAGCAACTGGCGTCGACCCGTTCGGTGCCGCCTTGGACGCGCTACAGCTGGCTGTCAAGAGCGCCCCGCAGGGTGCGATGGCCGCCGGCTCCGCTGCTCTCAAGCCTGATCTGGATGTTTTGGAATTTCCAGCAGCAGCTCGACGGCGTCTCGGTTCGCAGCAACGTTGTTGATACCACTGCCGGCGAGCACGAGACGAAATTGCAGGCCTTCGTCTGGGCATCAAAGTCTTGCAGGCCGCCATCGCGAAGGCGGACAAAACACCTCAACTTCATCGGCCGCTTGATCGCGCATTCAAGAGGTACGGCCATCAAACTCACGGCTCCGCTCATCGGCAGGAAACGGGATGTTCAGAGCTCGGTCTCGCATTGCCTCAACAACATCGAGCTGTATGGCACAGGGGAGCTCACTGGCGAGGCGCAAGGCAGATTCTACACCATCCACTTCACGGGCGGTGTCGGCCTCGCGGGCAGCAGAGCTTCCAGGGCCCTCGGCTCCCTCAAGCTCGACCGTGGCTGGATTCGGTTCCCGCTCCCTGGCGCGACTGGCGCCCAGACGCAGCGTCACATCGGGCCCGACGAGGGCCTGTTCAACGCCATGCGACTACGATTTCTTGTCCATTCGTTCGACAGAGTTCTACCTCGACCGCGAGCAAGGATGGCTCTCCGAGGCTTCGACGCCGCTCGTCCGCATCACCCCGCATCCAGGTCGGAAGCCAACGGCGTTCGAGTTCAACGATGAATGCCTGGCAGCTCGCCATTGGGATCGCATTATTTGCAATACCGACATCGAGGCCATCGCCTAGCCAGACACCGAACCAAAATTGAGCCATTAACCATTTTTTGGTCCGCAAGGCCGAGCCTGCTGCCAGCTTCGATTCGCCCCCCAGCTCCATGATCTTTTCTTCCTGGAACACCAGAGCGCTGCGCTGGAGAGGAAGAGTGGCATCTACCAAGGCGCGCGACGTCTACGCGCTCCTCAAGGACGGCAGCGTCGCGGCGGAAGCGATTGCGTTCCCCCGGGAAAAATCAGCCACGAGCGCACGGTCTTCGGCTCGTTTGCCCCTGCTGCTGCTGGCGGCGCGCTCTCGGCGCCCCCCTTCTCGCGTCGCGCGCTGGGCCATGCCGCCGCGGCTGCCCCGCTGGTCCCTGGGAGAGCGCCTCGCATCTCGACCGAGTTGCTCGCGGCCAGATTGCGCCACCGCAGCGCTCGCAGCCACAACCTCTCCTCCGCCCAGGCCAAGTTGGTCATGGATTCCATCGCTGCAGACGCTGCCTGGGCTCGCGAGGACCCCCGTCAGCACCTGCTGGTCATCGCCGGGGATTTCAATTCCGCGCCCTTCGACCCTCTCCTACCTGCGGCCCCCTCGCCGCAGGGCCATCCTGTCCAGAGCTGACGCTCTTGCAGGCACGAGTGGCACCGGGTCCTCGGCCAGCTCACGGACGTGGCCATCTCGAATCTGGCCCGTTAGCACAAGGAGTCTGACGCGTTGGCAATTATGGGCCAACGCGGGACTTCGCTGCTTATTTAACCACTATGCTAGCTCTCGGCTTCGATGACCTCGCGCAGCGCTTCCGAGGGGCCCCCGGGCCAGGGCATCAGCGACCGCGTCGCGACCTCCTTCTCGCTCAAGAACCGCGCTGGCCTTGCGCTACTCGCACCTACCTCAAACACATATACAAGCGCGACGGCTTCAAGCAGCGTCTCAAGTGCGTGATCGACTGGGGGTTTCACGACCTCAACAACTTGTCTCCGCCGCTCCGCCTCGAACGTGTAAATTTCCTAATGCAGGAGGCTGTCGCGGAACCGATCAAGCTTCCCATCGGCGCCGGCGTCGACTCGCCTGAAAACCAGCTTGCTTTCGCTCGGCAGGCTGCCCGTGCTCGCTGGCGTCGCGACTGCGACCAAACTTCTCGCTGCCCCCGAACCTCCGCGCTCTCGCTTGCGGGTCGCTGGTGCCGAAGGGGAGCCTTTTGATCCCTCGGCCTTCGAGTCCTGGACCTGGCGCGCTCTATTGGCCGCTGCTGCTGCTGATGGCCACAATCGCGCTCCTTGCTCTCAGCTGGCCGCTCCTCGACTCCGCAAAGCTGCTGCGGGTTAGCTACGCGCAGCAGAGCGCCGCGTTCGACAGCGGGCCCCGTTCGGCAAGGCGCGCAACCTCCGCGACGTCGCAGATGGCGCCCGCGCCCACGCCGCGCACGAGCAGAAGGTCGCAGCGGCCACTGCACACCTGGCCCCGTCGCCCTTAAAGGTGGACGTCGACTTGTTCGGGGCGCGCGGGCGCGTCCGCGACTGGCTCGTCTTCGCCGCGGCGACCTCGGCCCCTCCGCTCTCGCGATCGTCTCTGGGATTGGCCGCCTCCCAGCTCCCCCCCTCGCCTTCGGCGCCTGGCGCGTTCGGTCTCCCGCGCGCCGCGTGGGGGGCGCTGATTGCCCGAGTGCCTCGGCTTCCTCTGGGCAGCCGCCGCTCGGCTGCTGGGCGGCCGGCAATGGCCCCGCGCAGAATCCGACACCAAACAGGCTCTCCTCTCGAAGGGCGCCCAGGACGATGGCGATCACGACGGCGTCTACGGCGCAGCTTCCGACTGTCGCATTCTCGGCTTCCGCGACACTTCGCTCAATATAACCAGCATTGCACTCGACGCAAGCGTCTCGCCCACCGCGCAACAAGCTGTTCCCGCTTCTCAGATGGGCTTCACCGCCGGGCGCAAGTTCACCGAGCGCGTTGTTGAAATGGGCGCGATTGGTCGCGCCGCCACAGGACCGGCCACTGGGCCACCACGCGAGCGGCCGCCGCTGGCCGCCTTCGATTTCGGCCAAGCCTCCCCGAGCCTTTCGCAAGAATGCATGATGATGGTATTGTCGGCTCTGCGTTTCCCAGCGGGCTTCGCCCACGTGGGGAGGGCCTCTACGCCTTCGCGGCGGCCTTCTCGATCTTGAACCAGCTGGCGACCGCGATGTGCCGCGTCACGCGTGGCATTGTTCAGGGCTGCGCGCCGTCTGGCAGGCGCTTCGCCTTGCCACTGATTCCGACGCTTCTCCGCGCCCGCGCCTCGCCGGATGCCCTTGGGCGCGCGGTTCTGCGCTTTCCGCGCTCTACCTCAAGTCTGCCCAGTGCTTGCTGGTTCCGCTGCTCGCGCCTTTCTCCGAGGAGGTCCAGATCCGCATCCAAAAATCTTGACAGATAATGTCCGGGGGGGGGGCTGCTTCAAAGTGGCCAACAATGTAAAGTACCTGGGGCGCTGGCTCGGCCCCGCAGCCACGCCCCCCGATTCCTTCCTGGCCCCTTGGCAGAAGCACCGGCGTCGCCTCCAGCTCCCTTCTAGGACGACGTCGCCTCTGTCCATCATAGCGCACATCTACGTCGCGCGGTTTGTCCCCGCGCCGTTGCGTGTCGGCCAGTTCTTTGTCCTGCCCGCCGAGCCCGGCCAGTGCGAGCTGCGCGGCCTCTGAAAGCATGCCCGACATCCTGGCGGTGCTCTCCGACGGGTGGACTACGCGACGCGGCGTGAGCGGGGCGCCCCCAAGCTCGCGTCCGCCTCCGCAGCAGCCCAGGCGACCTTGCTGCGCTCGGCGATGCGCGCGCACACGGTCTTCCACAAACACTTGCACACGATGGATTGATCGCCGCTACCTGGCCGCGCGACGATGGATTGATCGCCGCTACCTGGCTGATCTGGCTGCCGGCTGGACGCCTGGCTCTTGCGCTTCGCCCGCCACCGCGGAGGCGCTCGACCTGGCGGCGAGCGGTCGTCCTCCTGCTCCTCACAGTGCGAGTCCGGTGCCAGTTTTGGCGCGAAGTGGACTACCGATCCAACATCGGCAACACCAACGTCTAATTACCTACGCACCATTACAAGGTCGCCTACCAGGCCATCCTACAGCATATGGCAGAGTCGACGCTCCTCGCACTTCTTGGGCGCAGGCTGCTCGCCGCCCACTCCTTGGCATACGCGCCCCTCTCTCGGTAGGCCAGATGGTTCTCGCAAGACTTGCTGACCTGCTTGCTGCCCCGTGGTGGGAGCTACAGCAACTTCTTTACCGTCCCCCCATGCGTGGGCGCACTCCTGCATCCGCGCTCTCGCTGGCAGATGGCTGACCTCTTCGCGCATCGCGACAGCTGCTGGGGCACGGCTATGCATCTTCGGTTGCGAGGCGGAGCTGGGCGACTTTCCGCACTACTTGGAGTGCCGTAGCTTGCTCTAGGGCCTCTCGATGGCTCTCTCTGGATGCTGGTTTTTCCTTCATGCTGACCCTCTCGTTCGCTGGTGCGTGCTACGGGCTTGCGCCGGGTCTGTCGAGCTCATCATCCTGGCCGCGTCGCTATATCACTCTGTGGATCCGCATGTTGGATTTCGCAATTCGCATTTACGTTGCAATTCGATTCACGTGTCAATGTTCGTTTCGATTTCAACGTCGATCTGCATGTATTTGGGCATCTAAACTGCAGATCGATGTAATTTCGATTTGGTGTTTGCTTTTCTTTTCGATGCGCGTGTGGGTGTGCAGTTCGGTCATTCGTGAATTTGCATGTCGAGTTGAACCTCTCACGGGAGTATGACTCGACAACCTTGGGATTACCCACGGGACAACCCACGTGATAACCACGGGTAAACACAAGGGACAAACCACGAGACAATCATTAACGCACGGGTGAACCTCGCAACAACCTACGGG